TCATCACACGTAGTCAGTACTCTTTATCTCTCAGTCTTCATACTTACAATTTACTCTGAATATCATGGGATCTCCCAAAAATCATAAATCTGGCTTAGATCTATCACTTCATGAATAATTTGTTCTTCTATTCAACACCTACACTTGACATATCATCATAAACTCCTTTCTAGTTAAAGTATACTCTAACTCATCCTTACTAGTAACTCTTACATTACCTCATATCATGAAATCTTCACAAACTCATCACTTCTTAGTCTACCCAAAAGGGAAAACACCATCATATATAGATAAATAAATTTTAAAGAAAATATTTCACCAAACAGTGCAACAATTCAATATGAAAACAAAATAACACGAACAAACAAGCAAATTAAGGGTTCAACAAGTTTCAAAAGCTAAAAAAATATAGTTTTAATTCTGAAAACAGATAAAATAACCATCAACAAATGTCACATTTGATGGCTATGTCACACCAACATTTATCTTTAGCGTGTCCTGCTTAAGATGCACGACAACTGATACATTGACAAGGTGGCGGCGGACGCCCATCACCAAGTGAAGTACCACCGGTGGCCAAGGTGAGCTCCAAACATGGTAACATATTGTTACGAGCCTGCTCGTACAAAGTGGATGTTTCATGTGTTACTGCATTCGAACCAACGTTTGCATCTGAAGAAGAGATCTGTCTCTGATCAACCATCTCAACATCAATTGGAGGAGGAGGGAGCCTATTTTCAATTGCAAAGTACTCAAATTAACATATGACTCATGGAAAAAAATTAAATATACTTCAAAAAATACAAATTAAATGGTTTAATGAGAGAATAAACTTACTCATTTTGTTGGATAATAGGGCTTTGATCAACCACAAAAGTACGAGAGAAAATGTTGAGTCCATTGTTGGTTTGGAAAGTAGTATGACGAATGTTTGGAGGTGCACCATTCCATGAAGCATCATTGTTCATCTCATCCCTTGTAAAATACAATTAATACCACAAAATTTATATCATAAACACATTAATTAATTACAAACATTTATATATACTAGAAAAATATGAGTAAAATTAATTACCTCATATGGCTAGTACTTCCAGTATGTGCATTAACAATTGCACGAAAAAGCTGCCTATTTTCATCTTCAGGCTAAAAATCAAATAGAATTTTATTTCTTAGAATTAATAAAATATGGGAAAAAAATGTATAATTTTACGTACAACAAAAATAGAAGATATCTCTTCTAACAAAAATTCTTAAAAATTGAATGTAGACAATCACTACCCGTATTCAATATTCAGATTAAAGATTACGATAATAATTCATTTTTATCTTATTTTTATATTAAATTAATGTACTTTACTATGGTTAATTAATAAATAAGGTTAAAAAAAATTGGATAATACCTGTTCTTCATTATGTTCGTCCTCAATGACGTTTTCTTCATTTTCGTCTTCAGAGTCAAAGTCTGAGTCAGAGTTTGTAAATCTCATCCAGATTCCATCTTCTTCGACAACTCGGCAGTTAGGGCATTTCATTTCCCCCCTAAGATTGAACTCACTTCCAATACAATCTGCATAACAAGAAGAAAAAAAAATTAATTACTATTGGATCTTACAAATCATATGAAGTTCAAATTTTTAAATGAAGCAATGTAAATTTTCTATTTTTACAAGATTTCGTGTTTTATTCTTTTTTTTTTGTTTCTATCCAAGTTTTTAAAATCTTTTTTATTATATTTGCTATTGACAACTTATACCAAGGTTTATGTCTAAAAGACAAGAAAATAATTTAATTTATGATGTTACGAGTTTTCTATTTCACTTCCAACGAATTAAAAGAAAATAAAAATCCAATTTAATAAATTAAAAGATCCGAATAAAAAAACATATGATCAATTGAATAAACAATTTCTTATGTTGAGTAAAGGAAAATCTAACTAGCTACTACTTATTCGATTTACATACAAAAATTATTATAATAAAAACACATAAACGAATAATTTATTTATTTTAAAGATTTGTAAATATTGTTATAGAAACCTGAGTGGAAGAAATGTTGACACACAAGCTTAGTAATTGCCCTTGTAGAATCATCTACAACATTCTCTAAACAAAGGGTGCAAAGTGGAGGGTTTGCACCATTTGGGAAAATGTTATTAGCCATAGCTAATAAAGAAGAGAAATGAAGAGTGAAGTGAGGAAATAGGGAGATTTCAACATTATTTATAGGGAAATTTTGAAACATGAATTAATTGACTTACTACTTTGTAATCTTGTAATAGATTCCTTAATTATGAATTATTTAGGTGTTCACATGGTATAGATGGAAAGTAACTGAAAATTTATCTATAATACTTATGATTAGTGTTTTTTCTAATGTGAAAAGACATAAGTATCCCCTATATTTCTTTGTACGTTATGTGCTGACGTGGAGTTTCAATCTGACTTAATTAATTGTGATAACATACACACATTATCAAGTGATGTTTTTTTAAAAGAAAAAATGGTCAAAATTTCCCCTCAAATATGAAATAGACCATTTATACCCTATGTTATATTTCAGTTTAGGATAAAAAAAGTCTCGTTATTTTCCCAAGAGACCACAAATATCCTCAAGAGTTAACAACCCAATTTTTTAGTGATGTGGCGTGCAATCCATGTGTGGGACGAAGCTCTTCACCTAAGCATTGATAACTAGGATAAAGATAGAACGTAACTGAAAATTTATCTATAATACTTATGATTAGTGTTTTTTTCTAATGTGAAAAGACATAAGTATCCCCTATATTTCTTTGCACATTATGTGCTAACGTGGAGTTATAATCTGACTTAATTAGTTGTGATAGCATACACACATTATCAAGTGATGTTTTTTTAAAAGAAAAAATGATCGAAATTGCCCCTCAAATAAGAAATAGACCATTTATACCATTTGTTATATTTTAGGATAAAAAAGTCCCGTTGTTTTCCCAAGAGACCACAAATATCATCAAGATTTAACAACTCAATTTTTTAGTGACGTGGCGTGCAAGCCACGTGTGGGACTAATCTCTTCACCTAAGCATTGCCAACTAGGATAAAGATAGAACGTAACTGAAAATTTATGTGTATAATACTTATGATTAGTGTTTTTTTCTAATGTGAAAAGACACAAGTATCCCATATATTTCTTTGCATGTTATGTGCTGACGTGGAGTTACAATCTGACTTAATTAGTTGTGATAGCATACACACATTATCAAGTGATGTTTTTTAAAAAGAAAAAATGATCAAAATTGCCCCTGAAATATGAAATAGACCATTTATACCATATGTTATATTTTTGGATAAAAAAGTCTCGTTGTTTTCCCAAGAGACCACAATTATCATCAAGAGTTAACAACCCAAATTTTTAGTGACGTGGCGTGCAAGCCACGTGTGGGACTAATCTCTTCACCTAAGCATTGCCAACTAGGATAAAGATAGAACGTAACTGAAAATTTATGTATAATACTTATTATTAGTGTTTTTTTCTAATGTGAAGAGACATAAGTATCCCCTATATTTCTTTGCACGTTATGTGCTGACGTGGAGTTACAATCTGACTTAATTAGTTGTGATAGCATACACACATTATCAAGTGATGTTTTTTTTAAAATAAAAAATGGTCAAAATTGCCCTTGAAATATGAAATAGACCATTTATACCCTATGCTATATTTTAGGATAAAAAGTCCAGTTGTTTTCCCAAGAGACCATAAATATCCTCAAGAGTTAACAACTCATTTTTTTAGTGACATGGCGTGCAAGCCACGTGTGGAGCTAATATCTTCACCTAAGCATTGCCAACTAGGATAAAGATATAGCAAGCTACTACATGATTTACCATATGCTTTGTGGTGGACAAAATGAGTGAAACGAGCTAGACTGAGATGGTTTGGACATGTGAAGAGATGCGTAGACGCACATTAGGAAGGTGTGAGAAGTTGGTTGTAAATGGTACGAGGAGAGGTAGGCCGAAGAAGTATTGTAGAGAGCTGATAAGATATGATATAATACAACTTCATGTTACCGAGAACGTGACCTTAGATAGGAGAGTGTGGCGGATACGTATTAGGTTAGAAAGTTAGTAGGTAATGTAGTGTTGTCTTGCTTAGAGTGACTGGTATTTGTCATGGTACTAGTTGTATTATTATTGTAGTTCTTATTTTTATTTTGTCATTATTTATTATTGTTTTCTATAATCTATTCTAGTATGTTGTTTAATGTGTTTTGAATATCACATTATTTTATTATTATTTTCGACTTCTTTCTGGTACTTTGCACTTTTACCTTGTTATTTGTCATATTCTCTTCACTGTCTCCTTCTTATGTGTACCCGAATGTGTTGCATAACTTGAGCTAAAGATCTTTTGAAAACAACTTCTCTATCTCTACGAGATGGTATTAAGGTTTGTGTATGTTATATCCTCTCCGAACCTCATTGATTTTGTCTAATTTAGATAGATATCAACATACTTATTGAATTCCTCATCATAGATTAATTATCATAAAAAGTAAATTAGTGAATGTCAGACTAGAATGTTTGAAAGTGAATTGTCCAATAAAAAGATAAAAAGAATTGAAAAGACTTGAAAGGATGACTTTTAAGGTCAGAATTCGATCTTGTACAATTCAGACCAACTAAGTATATCTAGATTTGTGCCGAAATTTTTTATTTTAGGGTAAATCACTTTCTACTAAAGGCAATTTCATATTCAGAATTCGAACTTAAATTTTTTGACTAAAAATAAAAAAATACTTATCACTCTATCACAACATTCGATAATGCTAGGAACAACTTAATAACAACATGCAAATCATACTGAGTATAGGATTCTATTGTCATTTACTTTCATAGCACAAAGAGTGCAAAATTTTGGATACACCACTTACTAAATATGAGAATGTCAACTAAAAAAATATATTAGAAAGTTCTAGATTTAATTCTATATAAATCAAGAAAATTAACTCATGGGGGGGCAAAAAAAAGTTGTCTTAAACTTTTGGCTTTGGCTTCTTCACAATCATCACAGAGCAATGAGCATGGTGAGAGCAATAGTCACTTACACTACCCAAAACAGCCCTGTATATAGCATAGAACAATGAAATTTAATCAATAATTTCCAGTAAAAATTAAGAAAAATATTGAGAAAGAAAATTAAACTCTCAAGTGATTATGGGTACTTTATTGTACCTTTTTAAATATAATTATATGGTATTAGAAATTTACTGGATCGACTAATTCAAAGTTGCGCTTCATAAAATCCATTCAAGGAGGAAAAGCCCTTAAGGGCATCATGTCCATTATTGAAATTCTAACTCGAGATCTTTGTCAAGGATATAAAAAAATTCCATTAATTTATATCATTAATAGTACACCCCTTGGTGGTATTTATACTTCTTTTATTCAAATTTATTAATTGATACTTAGTCAATATGATTAACTTTCCAATAGAATCAACTAGATTTAATAGTTCATTTAAAAATTGTGTTTGATCAAGGTTTCAAAAGTGCTTTACGAAAAAAAAAACCTATTTTTTTTCAATTTCTAAAAAACTACCTTCTACTATTACTACTACTACTTAAGTCACTTATTCTTAATTTCCTAAAAAATTTATCAAACAGCTCTCTAAAATAAACACTTTAAGAAAAATATTTTAAACTTTTCAGAAACTTGGTCAAACATGTTATTAATTTCGATTTTGGAGAGATGGAAGTGTTGAACATTTTTTTAAAGACAAAGAGAGTTATAATTATTTTATTTTTTTCCTTTTCTATTTTGTACCTTTTGAAAGCTCCATATCCATGGCTTCCCATGGCCAAAATAGAGGCATGATATTTCTCAACAGCTTCACAAATAACATTCCTAGCATCACCTTCAAGAATTTCACATGCTACATTTGACACCCCTTTAGTCTTGCATAATTCTTTAGATTTGTCAATAGTTTTTTGGGCAGCCTTTGTAATGTCTGTTTCTACCAATGTAAACATGTCACTTGTACCTATACAACATTAAAAAAGTTGAGTTTAGTGAATGAGATGGCAAAAAGGAAAAGGAAATAAGTAGTTCTAACAAAATCGGCATTAAGTTGGCAAGTAAGAACTCTAACTTGAGGGTACACATCTAGACATATTAACTTGATCTCAACTGGCAACTAAACATTCCAATTCTGCCCCATTGCATCGTCTCATGAACACTTAACGTTGACATGTCACATAAATTTTAGAGGTGTTTAAATGATCGTTTTGGAAGTTGAGTGTTCAGCTGATACATCAGAGACGATTGAGGTACTTAAATGTACATATTCAAAGTTGAAGTGCATTGTTGCTTGTTAGTTAATTGACACATCTATATTATTGGAAGGAAAAAAAAAACATGTCTATATTATAAAAAGAAAAAAATCAAGTCTAAAAATAGTGGTGCCCCGTCATTCTCAATTCCTGATATATTGATGGGAGGCCTAGATAACACATACTACATGAAATAATCAATACGTGTAACATAAGTTGATTCAAACATCATATTACTTTTTTTTTTAAAACTATATATTTGTATTGAGTACTCCATCAAATTTAAATAGTAGTACATACACTTATTCATACAACATTGAAAAATAGAGAAAAGAAATGGCCTAGGAGTTAATAACCAAATTATAACCAAAATGTCATTCAACAATAGAAGAAAGCAAATGAAAAAAAAAATAATTTCACCAATAACTTGTATAAATATGGAAAATAATTGATAATACCTGGTCCAGCAATTGCAACAACAGAATTTGGAGTAGGTTTTGCATGAATAATTATAAGTTTAAAATTGGAAATTGATGGAGATGGGAAAAAATGATCAAGAGTCCATTCAAGGGCATAATAACTATGATCACTATCATCTAGAGCAAAAATCATCACTTGTTTTTCTCCCATTGTTACACAATTATTTATGTAAAATTAAAAAAATATTTTGTGTTTTTTTGTTTGTATAATAATTAGGAATATATAGTAATGAATATTGATTTATATTGTAATTTAATTTTTGAAAAAAAACAAATGTGATCCGTTAGAAATGGATCTAAAAAGTTTTTATGGACATTAGTTGGTCAAGAAGGGAGAAAGGGGTGCCTATAAAAGGAACACATGTCGAAAAATCATTTGTAATGGAGAGAATTCATTTTATATACACCGATCGAGAATAAGAAAAGTTAGTTAAAATATATGTAAGTTGAAAGAATATGAGTTTATCATATCCAGCAAATTAAGAAAAGAATAATGTGTGTTGCATTATTTGTATGCAATCCAAGCAAACACGCTAGCTTACTTTGTTTGTGGTTTGATAAATTATTCGATAAATTAATTAAAGTGCACATAAATTAAATGACACGAGCCTAGTTCCATCAAATTAAAAATGTATTGTAATTTGTATGTATTCAATTATATCATGCAATATACAATAATTATCCACGTAACTTATGTTATCGGAGGCTTGAATAAATTGTTCGATAAATTAATTAAAATGTGTGTATATTAAAAGACATAAGTTCACATCCATCAAATTAAGAAGAAAAAATAATGTGTTGCATTATGTGCATGCAATACAATTATCCACACGCTTATCTTGTTAGTGGCTTTGATAAATTGCTCGATGAATTAATTAAATTATGCATAAATTAAAAGAACATGAGTTCAAGTCCATCAAAGTAAGAAAAAAAATTGTGTTGCATTATGTGCATGCAATACAATAACATTTACGGTTATTTTTTGTCCCTTTTTATTTGTGACTTGAATAAATTGTTCGATAACTTTCTTAAAATATGTGTGAATTAAAAGAACACGAGTACATATCCACCAAATTAAGAACTAAGAAATAAATAAATGTGTGTTGCACTATGTGCATATAATACAATCATGCACGTTTACGTTGTTAGTGGCTTGAATAAATTGTTCGATAAATTAATTAAAGCGTATTCAAATTAACAAAAATAAATAATTGGTGTTGCATTGTGTGCGTGGAATCAAAGATAGATAGAACATCAAATCTTTATTTTATTTTTTTCTATCCTTTTATTTTTAATTCCTTTCTTTAAATTGAAATCGAAGGTAGATAGAGACAATTTTATTTCTTTTTTAATAGATCAACTAATTGTGAAAATGACAGATATTGCTTCATGCCAAGCACAACTCAATATAAAACAAAGAAAATCAAATTTAAAGAGAGAAAATAAAGGGAAAGCCATGACCTTTAATTTTTTGAACTTTTTCTTTTCCTTTGATTTCTCTCTTTTTAATTCATTTATGTATTTTAGTTAATCAATTCACTTTTTCCCACCTCTATTAATTTAGCCATATATATATATATATGAAAAAACTAGATACTAGAAACTGACCAAAAATATCAAGAAAAAAATATATGCAGAAACTACATTTTTAAATGTTACAAGGTAGACATTGAAATTTCGTGGGACTCTACAACACGTGTTCAATTCCAATTAGGATTCTTGTATGCTACTCAACCCTAAACTTTAGTTCATGCCTATATAAAGGGTACTATATTCTCTTGAAAAAGACATCTCGAATATTCCGCAAATTCATGAAATATTCATAGAGAGATCAAAATCAATCATCCTATTTCGAGAAATACGCCACTAACGGCGAATCATGGATAACTATCTTATGAGGGAAGAATCAAGGGAAGAACAAAATTGTACCGACACTAGTTATCAAGAAAGTTATGTTTCTTTTTATTTTATTGTGATTACAATTTATTTTATGTCACTTTTAAATTTGTTGCAAACATAAGTTCACATTAAAGAAAAAACTTTTTTTCTTCATAATTCCCAATAAATCGTACACACTCTTGAAAAAAAATTAAGAACATAAATTATTCAAAAATATATTTAAGAGACTATTTTAAATCTAACCAAACTTAGTTCCTTGAGTTCCCAAAACTGTATTTAACTATATATATATATAAGTAAAATTTAACATCATTATTTATGTCATCACATAATTTTCTATCACGCACGTTGAGTAATCATTGTCATCGTGGCAAGATATATAAATTACTCAAATACTTGAGATATTTATTGATTTTGTATTTTGTTACTCAAGAAGTAGTATAAACATATTATTTTCTTGTTTTCAATTTAATTAATCTTTAAAATGAAATTAAAAATTAAATATATTAAGTTGGAACTTGGGACACATCTCCCCACTGATGCACTAACCCATCAAGTTATGAGTACGTCTTCTTATCAAACATAGCGAGAGTTCAAAGAAATTATCAAATATAACGAGTTTTTGAAATTCGCTTTGTATCAACGATAGAATAGTTTTTGAAATTTGCTCTTAAAGTAAGTTGTTGTATCACTGATACAAAGCAAATTATTGTATCATTACATATAGCGACATAGAAACTATTATTTTCAGTGACAGAGTCAAAATTTTCACTAAAGAGGTTCGAAATAGAAAAAATAAACACACTAAAAGGTCAAAATGAATTCAACATCTATTATATATACTCAAAAAATTATTTTAACAATGTGTAATGATTTACTTTTTTTACCAAAGAGGGTTCAGATGATTCCCTCAACCCTTTTACTAGGCCTCCGCCCCTAATTATATTACTGATACAAAACAAAATTTAAAAACTCTTACTATATTTGACTAATATCAACTATAATTATATTTGATAATTAGAACTCGAACTATCGAAACTATTCCCTTGAAATAATGCTTACTACGATCCTTTCTAAATCACTCCCGCTCTTTATACTCATCAATATTTTTTATCCTAAAGTGTAAACACATATCTTAGTTTATTTATTTTGTGTCTTGTATTGGCTATTTAGACGCAATGATTACAATCGACCAAGCCATGTGATTCACCAATCTAATAAGAATTGTTATTGCTTTTCATTGCTTATTATTTACTATCCCTTTATAATAACCTTAGTTTTTTTGCATTGTAATTTCAATTCTAGTGTATTGCATAATTATTTAGTGAATTTTAGTATTCATAGTCTAGTGCTATATTGTCTTTTCCTATTTTGTTTAAAAAAAAAAAAATTATTATTATTATTATTATTATTATTATTATTATTATTATTATTATTATTATTATTATTATTATTATTATTATTATTATTATTATTATTATTATTATTATTATTATTATTATTATTATTATTATTATTATTATTATTATTATTATTATTATTATTATTATTATTATTATTATTATTATTATTATTATTATTATTATTATTATTATTATTATTATTATTATTATTATTATTATTATTATTATTATTATTATTATTATTATTATTATTATTATTATTATTATTATTATTATTATTATTATTATTATTATTATTATTATTATTATTATTATTATTATTATTATTATTATTATTATTATTATTATTATTATTATTATTATTATTATTATTATTATTATTATTATTATTATTATTATTATTATTATTATTATTATTATTATTATTATTATTATTATTATTATTATTATTATTATTATTATTATTATTATTATTATTATTATTATTATTATTATTATTATTATTATTATTATTATTATTATTATTATTATTATTATTATTATTATTATTATTATTATTATTATTATTATTATTATTATTATTATTATTATTATTATTATTATTATTATTATTATTATTATTATTATTATTATTATTATTATTATTATTATTATTATTATTATTATTATTATTATTATTATTATTATTATTATTATTATTATTATTATTATTATTATTATTATTATTATTATTATTATTATTATTATTATTATTATTATTATTATTATTATTATTATTATTATTATTATTATTATTATTATTATTATTATTATTATTATTATTATTATTATTATTATTATTATTATTATTATTATTATTATTATTATTATTATTATTATTATTCATATGAAGGATGCAACAATTGGCATCAACAAGACAACAACCTTGGGACATTAATAAACCCCCACTCTGCAAAATTTAGTTGTTTAATATGTTTGTTAACTAAATAAATTAAAGGAGAAGGAATAATCACATTTTAGTCCCTCATTCAATGTTGAACTTAAATTTTGGTCTATATAATACTATATATTTATATATTTGATCTTCAACTAATTAAAATATTCATTTGCCCTTCATCAATTTGGGAACTCAACATGTAAGGAGGGAGAAGTTGATACAAATTTCATTCGAGATTATAGCATCGACGAGTTACATCTCCTATGTGATTTGCAAGTTATTACACATGATCAGATTTACTCAGGACGCATTCAAAGAATTCCAAAAAGAAACTTTTAAATTTCCACAAAAAATAACACATCTACTAAACTTTTAACTTCTCATATGTTAGTACTAAGAGAAACTTTAATTCGATCCCACATTAATCGACGTGAATGCATGTACTTCAGTTGGTGCCTTCCTCACCGCTGAACCAATTATTCATGTTGTTATTTGGTTTTCATGTACAATAATTAATACATTTAACAAAAAAATTCAATACAAATACAATTATAGAATTTCAAAAAAAAGTTACTAAATTCCTAGAACCCACACCGATAACAGTAAATCCGCCTCTGTTTTCACATGTAATTAAAAAATATATATGTTTATACTAATTAAAGGTGAAATATTTCTTATCAAATATCACGAGGACTAAAATAAAGATATTCTAATAATTAAAGGATAAAAAATGCAATTATTCCAAAGAAAAAATGACCCATGGCAGCAAATATATATAACAAAAGAAAAAGTACTTTCCAAGACACAAAATAAAAATAATTAAAAAAATATAAATATAATAAATATATATAATAATTTCTTAGTCATGAAAATTAGAAATGAATTTTAGTTCATCATGATAAAAGGGATACTCTTTTTTCTCTCTCCATTATTATCATTTGCTTCCATGAATTTTCTACTACATTGAATTCAACCAAACAAATTTTAGGGCTTTTTATTTTGCTCTGTCGCTCTCAGATCTATTTCTGCAGATCGCGGAATTTCACTTTCTTCATCTCTATAAGGTACTGCAATTTTCATATTCATAATTATCTATAATGTATCTCTCTGTGTATGTGTATAATTTTGCAAATTTTAACTATTTTATGTGGTTGATTTTTTTTTTTATTGATGGATTTATGAGATTTTTAACATGCATTGTGTGTTTAGGACGATTTGAATCCAAATAATTGCGTTTATCGATTCATAAACGGAGTCGTTTTGTTCACGTTTAAGTACGTAAATGTGCTGCTTGCTGCTTTGATTTCGATTTTTCGCCTCCAGGTGAGTTTCTATATCATAGATTTGTTATTCAATTACGATCTACAGTTTTTTTGTTGTTGTTGTTGGTGTAGTTGCTAAGTTTTGATGATGTGATTTTTTTTGGTGAAATGTTGTTGTTTAAGTGTGTAATAACAGATCGTAAAATTGGCGCCGCAACGCAGATCCCAGCGCCACATGGGTGGCCAGATGCAGCAGAGCAACGGGGCGGCTACTGCTCTGTATGATCAGCAGGGCAATGCCAGCCCTGCTGGTGATGCCGGAGACGCTGTCATGGCGCGATGGCTTCAGTCAGCCGGCTTGCAGCATCTGGCCTCTCCAATGGCTTCTACTGGTGTCGATCACCGCCTCCTACTTATGCAGGTAATATTCCCTTAATGGCCCTTGATAAGTTGTTTAATATTGGACATAAGATGGTCCTGAATAGCACATAGGGTATATAAAGGTTTCATATAGTTGATCGGAACTAGTTTGAGACTGAGACGTAGTTGATGTAATAAAAGTTCCCAAGTGTAAAAATGAATATTGCTTACATTTTGTTCAAATGTGGACGTTATAGTTTAAGTACACGCAGTTTAGCGCTGCTCAGTATAATTGCTACATTAGCTTAAATTGAATTGTCTCAGCCTTTGCCCACTGTAGTGTCTAAAAGCTCTTCTCAATATTTGGTTTACACTATTTTGAATTCACAAATAGATGTGACTTGCATGTTGTTTAGTGCTTAGTCTGAATGATTTACCATTCCTGTCATTGAAAAGTTCTCTGTGCTAAGTTCCACTGGCCTTAGTCTGATTGCATTTCTGGCTACTGTGAGTCACAACATTGAGGAGTTTTATCTAAGGATCAATATTGATCATTTTTTTTGCCTCACGCCTTCTTTCTTACGCTTCTGGGTCATGGAATTTTATTTTAGCATTCTTGTTCTTGTTTGGATGTTGCCATATCGTGTTTGTTAATAATTGTGAAGCTTGGAATTTTATTTGAAGGGATATGGGGCTCAGTCTATGGAAGAGAAACAGAGGCTTTTCAAACTAATGAGAAACCTCAACTTTAATGGTGAGTCTGCATCCGATCCATATACTCCTACTGCCGAAAGCTCCGGAGGTATTGGACCATCTGATGGTTTTTACTCTCCGGAATTCAGAGGAGACTTTGGTGCTGGACTTCTGGATCTGCATTCTATGGATGATACAGAGCTCTTATCTGAGGTATGGAAATACTAGTTGGATTCATATTGAGCACATTCATTGCTCCTGTTAGAATGTTGTTTTGCTGGGAACATAGGTTGGACTAGCAATCCTCTAGCTGGCTTACAACTTGATAGCCCTTTCTGCCATCAACCACACTCCATCCCCATCCTGGGGGTAAAGGAGAAAAGGAGAAACAAGACAGGAAAGTAGGTGTACCGAGTATGTTTAATTTAAAGAATGTAGTTGTTCTCTATTTGGAGTCTCTTTGACCATTCTATGGGAAGCTATCTAATAGTAGCTGAACTATCTCGTATCCTCTTCCATGTATAAGATTATCTGGATTACTACGGTCACTTGACACAAGAATCTTAATTATATTGGTTATTCTTAACAGTAAACTGTTTGAAAATTTAAGATCCGGAGATTATTGTGCAAAGATACCATATTGAAGTTAGAGCTTTTCACATACTGGTCGAAGATCTATAATGTAGTCTTATTGGCATTGAATCTTATTTATGCAAAGAGTGAAGACCATAAGTGCTGCTTACTTGTTGTCTAGAGGCAATTGCTGTTCAATAATTGTTGCTTTATTTTCTGTATAGCATGTAATTTCAGAACCATTTGAGCAGTCATCATTCATGCCTGCACCGAATGGAGCATTTGATAATGGCTTTGATGCCCCGACCCATCGGCAGCAAAAAGCACAACCAGACACTGATGCTGTAGCTGGGTTACCCATAGTTGAAAAGGAAAGCAACACAAGGGAAAACAATGTGGCAAAAATTAAAGTAGTGGTATGTCACTTGTGCATGAGCAATCAATTATGGGCACATTTTATGTTATGATACTGAAACATCATTGAAGCTGCGAAAACCCAGAGTTGTTTACATTTTCTGCGTGGTAAAGTGTGAACGTTTGAAATCTCTGATCACCTTTGTGAACAGCTGATTTAGAAATATTTGTGGTTGTACTAGAAATGAGATGACATTTTTTCTCTTTCCTGATAGGTATAAACGAACTGATTCTTAGGTATGAAGATCCTCATGGTTTATTCAATCATGTGGAGTGTCAATTTAGTTGCCTATAACACTTGAAACAAGTTGTCACTTGCTTCAAGATTGGTGAGAAGTGAGAACTATATAACTCAATGGCCTACGTCCCATGCATAATTTTGAGGTCTCTAAGGCCTGTATTTACTTTTCTAGTTTCGCTTGGCCTGGGTAGTTTTGGAGAATAGGGTAATCCATGTGCAACTTGAAATAATAGTACGTACAGATATTTGGTAATTAGCTGCATGACTCATATGTTGACATTTGTAGGTATTACATTATTATCTTCAATCCTCTTAAGCTCCCACATCGGTTTAAGTTATAGAGTAAATTAGCCTTAGAAGTTTATAGATATATGTTGTTTGGGGATGATAGCAAATTCCAATGTTTTCCAGTTTTATGGCGTAATTGGTAGTGTTTGGAAAATCGCATTGTAATCATATTTTTGTAGTTTCCCTTCCATGTTACTGTGTGTTGATTAAGTTTTATTTGTTTGTACTATAAAAATATTTTGTTACTATTTTTTGTTTGATCTTTGTTTGACCCCTTTCTATGCGTCTCATATGGCAGTGCAGTTGATATATTGAGTTACTTCCCATCTAATATTCCTAAGATTGATCATGATGTTTGTCCAGGTGCGCAAAAGACCGTTAAACAAGAAAGAAATTTCTCGGAAGGAGGATGACATTGTCACTGTGTCAGACAATTCTTCTCTTTCTGTCCATGAACCCAAATTAAAGGTTTGGAATCCATTGATTCTGATTTATGAATCAACCTATGTTTGAGACTAACTATGGTTTGTTAATTTGTTTCATTATTGAAGGTGGACTTGACTGCTTACGTGGAAAAGCATGAGTTCTGTTTTGATGCTGTTCTAGATGAGTACATAACAAATGATGAGGTATTACTTTGTCACTTTTTAATAGAAGTTAATCGCAAAGACGAATTTTATGTTTGTCCAAACAACAATTTTGAAAATGATACAGGCTTCCTTCAATCTTTGTCCAAAATAGTTGGAGGACTCTTCTGACAAACTCAAAAATATGTAATTGTCAACAAAGTTCTTTTTTTCTCCATAATTTATGATTTATTGTCATGCCTAAATGCAAATAATTTGATATCTAGGATCAACCTTTTAGGAGAATGGCATGATAGATGAAGATGTATCACAGAGAATTAAACTATGATGTTAAAAATGGGGAGTGCTTGCTCTGCGATAAGAAGATACCTAGAAAGACAATCATGAGATGAGCAATGTTATTTGAGAGTGAATTTGGCCTCTAAGATGAAACATATCCACAACCTTTGTGTTGTATTAATGTGATGGTAAGATAGTGTGCCTTTATACAAGATTGAAACATGATTAGAAGTAATTACATTAGACAGAGTGCAAGTAACACATATGGAGGAAAAATGAAAGAGGGTTGAGATGGTTTAGCAATGTACTAAATGGACCTCCTAGTGCATAAGTCAATAGGTGTGACACTACGATGACAAGAGTTGCTAAAAAAGAATAAGGTAGACTAAAAATTATGTGGATGGAAGTTATTGTAATAACCTACAATCTCTCATAATCAATAGTTCAATACCGACTTAGCTAATAATGTAACATAATGAAAGAAAAGGATCATATAAGAGATGTCAACCAGTAAGATAAAACCTTAATGCTTTTCTGTTACACTTCCATTAGGTTTTTATTCTTTATTTAGTCTAATTTGGTTAGCTATTTGTATGTCAATGTGAAGCCCTAATTTGCTTAAGGAAACAAATAGTTTACTTGAATTGGAAAGAATGGGATTGAATAGAACAAAATGGATTTAGAGGATTTATATAACTGACCCAGCTTAGATGAAGAGATTTTAGAGAGTATCAAATTATGTGCTATGGAAAAGGCACCTGGGTCAGATTGATTTCCTATGACCCTTTTTCTCTCTTTTTGAGTTCTGTTGAAGGAAGACATCATTAGTACTGTCCAATACTTTCACACTTATCAAACCTTTGAAAGGAGCTTCAATGCCACCTTTATAGCTCTAATTCCTAAGAAAGTTGGTGCTTCTGAATTGAAGGACTATAGACCAATCAGTTTGATTTAGGGGGGGGGGGGTACAAGATTCTTGCTAAGATACTGACAGAAATACTGAAAAAAGGTGGTTCACAAGCTGGTGAACAAACATCAAATTACCTTCATAAAAGGGAGAGAAATTATGTATTCAGCTCTAATAGCTAGTGAATGTATAGACTCAAGGTTGAAGGGAGAAGAGATGGTATGTGCAAACTAGACATAGAGAAAGCCTATGATCATGTAAACTGGAATATTTTGTTGAGCATCCTTAGGCAAATGGGCTTTGTGAGCAAATGGTTCTACTGGATTGTTTTATGCATTAAAACTGTCAGGTTCTCCGTTTTTATAAATGGAGAACCAGTGAGTTTGTTAATGTGGTTTTATATGCTTATATTCGAATTTTATGCTCAAACATTATCTTTCCTCATGCACTTCACAGGTTTATCGCGCCACTGTGGAGCCAATAATTCCTACCATCTTTCAGCGCACAAAAGCAACATGTTTTGCTTATGGCCAGACAGGTTTGACATATTTTCTTTGCGTGTTTTAATTTATTTTCTCAGTACAAGCCACTCATTTATTTTCTCACATTTAGCTCATTAAATACTTTTTATATGTACTTTGGTGTTTGTACTTTAGGTCATTTAAATTCCACTGAATTTTTAGAAGGGTCCCATAATTTTGAAATATCTTCCATTGGAATGTGAGGATGTCAAATGTTCTATTTACCCTTCTAAGAATTTCCCTTTAAAGTTCAGCAAGTATATGTTCATGCATGACTTACAAGAGTAGAAGAAAGTTACATCTTCTTAGGCACAAGTAGTTGAGCATCTACTGACTTCATTGATATCTCAAGGTGAATATTAATTTGAACATTGAATTTTAAATTCACAATTTTGTTGATGCTATTGGTAGCAAATGAAGTCTGCTTCCAATTTTCTTTATCTGAATCTGAGATCACCTTCTGAAAAAATATATCTAAATTTGAGATTATCTGGTTTTCGAGTTTCCAGTTCCTTGCCTTCAGGTTGACGTTTGCATGTTTCTGAACCCTTAAATATGTGACTTTTACTACCAGAAAAAGAGAAATTGTTTAGGATCTACACTTGTTGGACCAGAATGCTTATAAACAGCATTAATCTAGTCGATGTTAGATTATTTTATTCATCTTTTCGTTCTGGACTTGAACGATTTGTCACGCTCATTCTTCATATTTTTGCTTTCAGATGTTTGAAATTATAAAAGTACATTATGATTTTCTGCCCTACATCTTTCTCGCATGGTCAGGAGTAGAGCTGTCAAAATGGGCTTGGCCCGCTATGCCGGCCCAACCCAACCCTTGAATTAAGTGGGGTTGGGCCTAATTTTTTTGGCCCATTTAGGAACGAGGCTTTTTAGCCCAGCCTCATTTGTCCCGCTAGCCTCGTAGGCCCAACCCGCAAGCCTCAGAGGCCAGCCCGTGGGATATGAATATTTAAAAATATTTTTAGTAGTGTTTTATTCGTAAAGTTTTTATCAATAAATATTTTAAAAAATAAAAAATCAAGTCTTTTAAACTAGCTAGTTTTTTGTGGGAGGAATGGTGGAATGATCAACATTTTTCCGCTAAATCTTACGTTGACTATTATGTATATTTGTAAGTATTCACCGAAGTGTGTGATTGATAAATGTATTTTTGTAAGTATTCACCGAAGTGTGATTCATAAATGAAAATTTGTATGTATTGATGTCATGTTCATAGACGTCAACGTTCGATACTCTTAGATATTCTTTCTAAGAGAGTAATATTGTTCATTTTTTTGTTGAAGAGCCAACCCGTCCCAACCCGTGGCCCGCTAAGGGCTGGGTTGGACTGCTATTTTATAGGCCCTTTAATTAAAAGGGTCAGCCCGTCTCAACCCATGTAACTCTCTGCCCGTTAGGGTTGGGTTGGGCAAGCCCATTTTGACAGCTCTAGTCAGGAGGGAGTTACATGTTTTACTGTACACACGATTTTATGAATTTTTCACCGTCTTTGGTTTAAAATTTCTGCTTCTTATCACTGCTAGTTTCTTTGTATTGTTGGCTGTTGCTATTGTGGGCAGCTCCTCAATCGGTTATTTCAGAATTGATGTTTTTTCCTTTCTTTCTTTATGGTTCAGGTAGTGGTAAGACATACACAATGCAACCATTGCCTCTCAGAGCTGCAGAGGATCTTGTTAGATTGTTGCATCAGCCAATTTATCGTAATCAGAGGTTCAAGTTGTGGCTCAGCTTTTTTGAAATATATGGTGGGAAACTGTTCGATCTTCTCAGTGAAAGAAAGTTAGTATTCTTACCTGCATTGAAAAGCTTTCATTTGATTGTCTATAGATATTATAAATGGGTTATATTTTCTCTTTCAAGTACGTTGTGGCATAACACAAAAATGAGAATGGGCAATATTGAGCCTCTGAATGGGTCTCCAACATTCATTCTGTGGTGGTATCTAATCTTGTAGAAAATTTTCCACAAAAGATAAAGGAAGATAAAAGCAGAGAGGAAGAGACTTGAAGGCCTATGTGTCCTAAAGGATTGATGACAAAAAACATGTCAATCCAGTGGTCGAGTGTGTTGTCTTGGTTGTCCAATTGCTTTTCTTTTTTTTAAATAAGTAATTTTGTTAATTAACAGTAAAAAGGGGGTATAAATAGAGTTCAAAAGTCCCTGGCTGACTCCCCCAACGAGTTAAAGTAGTAAAAAAAATTCGATGATTTTATCAAAGCTATTTACAATGTTTCTACCAAAAGTTTAATGGTCAAAATGCATTTAAGATCTACTTAAGAAATAGTCCTCTTTTTGCTACAAAAGTTCTACAGTTCCTCTCTACCCATACAGTCCATAATATGCATAAAGGAATGATTTCTTAATCTTGTCTTCGTCTCTTCTCCACTATCTGCCCTTGCCAGCACCACAATATCATTTTTAGTAGTCTTGGTTGTCCAACTTATTGAAGAATAAAGGATTGTCAAACCTATAGTTTTGTTTTATCAATATGGAACTTCATGATCGATACACGTATATTTCATTTTTTTTCTGAACATTGCTTTTATATAGGAAACTCTGCATGAGAGAAGACGGGCGTCAGCAGGTTTGCATCGTTGGGCTCCAGGAATTTGAAGTTTCAGATGTACAGGTTGTGAAAGAGTTTATTGAGAGAGGAAACGCTTCAAGAAGTACAGGCTCCACTGGTGCAAATGAGGAATCATCAAGATCTCACGCGATATTACAACTTGTCGTCAAGAAACACAATGAAGTAAAGGACACTAGAAGAAATAATGATGGAAATGAATCCAAAGGCGGGAAAGTCATCGGAAAGATTTCCTTTATTGACCTTGCAGGTAGCGAGAGAGGTGCAGACACTACTGATAATGACAGACTAACAAGGTACCTTATTATGGAATGAATCTGGCTGCTTTTTATATTATACCTTTCAGGGAATGCCTAGATTTCTTTCTTTATAGTTTGGTTCTAACTGGCCAAAGTGAAAACTAGGTACATCTCTACAATAAAATTTAACATACTTGACACAGTCAAGAACTTTTCCAGAGTTAAAAGTACCATCCCTTTAGCATTAAGTACAAAATAGTAATATGGAACATACAACTCTCTTGAATTTCGTCTGCAAAAGTAGAAGGAAAACAAAAAAGAACCAAGAATGTAGAAAAAAAAGATGTAGCCTTCTTTCCTCCTTTTTGGGGGATAAGAGGCTACATCTTTTTTTTCTACATTCTTGGTTCTTTTTTGTTTTCCTTCTACTTTTGCAGACGAAATTCAAGAGAGTTGTATGTTCCATATTACTATTCTGTACTTAATGCTAAAGGGATGGTACTTTTAACTCTGGAAAAGTTCTTGCCTGTGTCAAGTATGCTAAATTTTATTGTAGAGATGTACCTAGTTTTCACTTTGGCCAGTTAGAACCAAACTATAAATTAGCATTCAACACTTGGAACTCATGTGATGCATAGAACGTGAATTTTCGATCTTTCCTTGTTTTCCCTCCCCCCTGCCCAACCTAAATTGCACTTCTATGGCCCTTTTCTGCCAATATGTTGAAGTAGCATATCTCTGAAATTGACATTCTTGTTTGGTTTTAGAATTGAGGGAGCAGAAATTAACAAGAGCTTGTTAGCTCTTAAAGAGTGTATTCGTGCTCTTGACAATGATCAGCTTCATATCCCGTTCCGTGGGAGCAAACTCACTGAAGTGTTGCGTGACTCCTTTGTTGGCAACTCAAAGACAGTTATGATTTCCTGCATTTCTCCTAATGCTGGATCATGTGAGCATACACTCAACACATTAAGATATGCAGACAGGTAGTTCTAGCCTTTTTTGTACCAGTAGAATGTTTTTTTCATTTTTATTATGTCGCTGAACCTATTAACATTGTATTTACAGGGTTAAAAGTCTATCCAAAGGTGGAAACAACAAAAATCAGAGTGCAAGTGTAACAACTCCAACATTCAAGGAACCTTCTCTACCGACTACTTTGGCTGCTTCTGCTGAGGCAGAAGATGCTTATGAGCAACCTCAAGAATCTAAAGTATCAGAAGCAAATAGAAGAGTTATGGAGAAAGAAACAACGTCATACAATTCCGCTAATGTTTTTGATAAACAACCCTCTAGATTTTCTTCAAATCAAACGTTCAATGGTCAGGACGATGGAGGGACAAATTTTGGTGGTATGGATAGGGACAGGTTTGAGGCAAAGAATAGCTATGGTGTCCCAGCTGGTCAAAGAATGCCGTCTACATCAAATTTGCAGAGTTCAACTGATACAGAAGACAAGGTGCAGAAAGTGTCTCCACCTCGGAGGAAAGTTTCTCGTGATGAGAAACCTGAAAAGCCAGGAAAATGGTCAAGAAAAGATGCCTCGAGCTCTGAGTCATCCTCTATGAGTTATAAACAGCAAAATGCAAGTATAAGAAGTGTTGGATCGGGACAAAATGAACCTTCTTCGCCCCCTCATGATGATAATATCAATGAATTACTGCAGGTTAGCCTATGAAACTCTTTTACTTCTCATCTCGTAAGATATCCTCATTAATAACAGTTATGACCTTTTTGATGTCGGTGTAATTTTCCTCTTTCTGCTGTAAAAGGAAGAAGAGGCCCTGATGGCTGCACACAGGAAAGAAATTGAAGATACGATGGAGATTGTTCGTGAAGTAAGAAAATCCTAGTTTTTCTGGTCTAATGAAGTTCTTAGCACTTTATCATCTCTTTGCAATATTGGGAATATTGTTCACTTGAGATAATTAACATATTGTTGCTTTTCTCTGTCAGGAAATGAAACTGTTGGCAGAAGTTGATCAGCCTGGAAGTCTCATCGACAATTATGTAACACAATTGAGCTATGTGTTGTCGCGCAAAGCAGCAAGCCTGGTCAGCCTCCAGGCTCGTCTTTCCAGATTCCAGCATCGACTAAAAGAGCAGGAAATACTGAGTAGAAAGAGGGTACCACGCTAGACAGCATTCGAGCTTTTAATTGAAGTGACCGTCCTCTCTCTCTCTCCCCGCTCACTTGTACAACTCCGCCTTTTGTATTATTCAAATTGTAGTTTAATTTCTCTCTTGCCAATACACAAACCATTTGGTGAAATTACAATGTGCATATGAAAACAAATTGTATGAAAGGAACTATAGACGAACGACTCATGCTATACAACTAGTGAAGCAACTCACCTTCATATACTCCGGGCAAGGTAACAGGGCGTTTCAGAGCTTTTTAAATTTGTTGTGATCAGATTTGGACTTGTCAAAAACGTGGGCAGAAATCCATATCTTTTACTGTGTGTTGTTGAATTCCATGTTGTGCCATAGGTTTCTGGGAGTTAGATGTTCAATTGTAACTAAAACTTTTACTATTTGTTCTCTTGTAACAACATTATTGATTCGATGATTTCACTGTGTATCAAGCAGTTATGTTTTATGTCTATTTCACTTTATATATAAGTTCAAACCTCAGGATTATTTGATATTAATAAAACTGTTTCTCCTAACGGAGGCATATGCTTGTTTTTTTGGGCTAATCAGGCCCTCCTGAAGTTTGGGTCATGACATTGACAACTGTACATCAGCTAAAAATAGGTTTTTTTTTTTGGGTGTTATAACGGGTGAAGTTAGGGTAAGTTGTCTACATAATATTCCTTGAGATGCGATTCTTTCCTAACCCTACATAACTGTGAAATGCTATTGGACGGGTCATCTTTTTTTTTTCTTTTCCATGCCGGGTGAAATTACATATTCAAATCTTGCAATCTATGTAGTTATAAATTTCCTGACTAAATCTGAAGTTGACAATAGGGATTCGGTAGTTGTTGTGAAAATTTTCCAAAAATTAATTAAGTATAATAGAGATATATAGTGTTGAATTTATTTTTCTTAAAAAGAAAAGAAAAAAAGCTTTACCTGGGGACCGTCTATAGGAATCTTATACAATTCTCCCAATAAAAGGATTTAAAAAGAATCTTCTCATTTATATTGGGTTGTCACTTGTCAGAATTAATTTAAGTAAAGGTTAGATGACTAAGTATACGGTACGTGTCTGATTTAGTACAAGTCAAAGTGAAATTAGAATAAAGTCCTAAAAGATCATAAAGATGGATATCTAGGGTGTGTTCCGTACGAAGAAAATGTATTTCATCAAAAATATTTTCTTGAAAACAGTTTTAAAAAAAAGAAATAAGTAGATATTTTGGGTGTGTTCAGAACGGAGGGGAAAATAAGTTCCTTAAAATTAAAAACACAAAAGACTTTCCTAATAAAAATTACTAAACAATAAATTCTACAAATGCTCCCCATTCTCTAACTCACCCATCCCCATAGCCCCCACATACCACCACTCGACTCTCACCCCTCAAAATATGTGTAAATTATAAATAAAGTATTTTAGGACAATACTTTTTTGTATATATACCAAACACAAGAAGATAAGCATAAAAATCAACTTATTTTTTTGAAAAACATCTTCCTTCGTACCGACGCACCCATTATTTATCTTCGGTATATAAGAAAAAGATGCTTCCTCCTTCCCATTTATATGGCACCGTTTACCTTAGCATGATATTTAAGAAAAAAAAAAGAGAGACTAAAAACTTATGGTCTAAAACATCCTTAGATACTTGTGTGGTTGTAAATTATTTTATCAAGAATAGAAGGGATATTTTAAAAGTCAAATTATTTCTAACTATAATAAGATGACATTCCTTTTAAAACGGACTTAAAAAAAGAAAATGTGTCACATAAAATATAATGGGGTGAGTATTATTCTAAAAACATTTAAGTAAGGTTCGATGAAAGCTAGTCGGTGTCTGACTCGGTATACAGTCCGTGTCTGTCATCTAATTTAGTATACAGATAAGTCCTTTAATGGAAGGATATCTAAATTACCTAAATTTGCTCGAAGAGATAAGTGTATTTCAACCAAATGACTTGCAAAGAATTTTTTTCCGTTTTCCCAGCAAATACATTTGAAGATTAAACTAATATGATTACTTCCTTGGCAGGTAAAAATACACATACAGAGAGGCACACACACACTTTAAGCCTTCAGGTATAAATATAATAGCACTTTTGGTGCTTAATTATCAATAAATTTTTAATTTTTGTGATACTGACTAAGCATATTATTGAACCTTCAATTAATTGAAGTGCTGCACTTTTATCCTGCTTCTTGCTAAATTTATCAAATTATCAATCATAACATTATTTAACAGACTATGTGTAACATTAAGTCGTATTACTACTACTCAATATTTGAGGGTAATATAGTTTTAAAAATAATAAAAATATAACATATTTTTCTAGGCCAAAAATACACATTTATGTTGATTAAAGGTTAAATATACTTGGTCAGGTATTACAAGGACCAAAATAAGAGTTCACCAATAATTGAGGACCAAAAGGGTTGTTATTCTCTTTTCTAAAGATAGTCAACACACGCATCAACTACATTTACAATGGTTTAATTCAAAATTTTAAAATGGTTCTCTATAAAAACGTAAGCGCGGATTATGGCACAAATTAAGATGGTGGAAATGGTCAAATTATTAAAACCGTGTGTTAAATATTCATCTACAAATATCCCAATCAAATTTTATGTACTTCAAGTTCAAGACAAGAATCTTCAGCAAAATAGAAAGGAGTAACCTTTTTTTCCTTTGAAATATTTATTTATTCTGAATTTTAACAATAAGCAAAGAAGATTAGCATGAACCCTACACAAGCAGTCAAGCACAAATAGAGAAATAACTTCATAATACAGCTGTTATAGTTGCAGTATTTTTTAAAGTCACCAACCATCTCTCTATCATTCAATTTTTAGAATTGTTTTATTGGATAATATTCAGTTATAGTAATGTCGTTTCTCTCCATACTCATCTTGTGAGATTACACGGGCTATGTTGTTGTAGTAGTTATGCGTTTCTCAACTATTCTTGCCTTTCTTTGCCCCAGGATTATTTTTGAATTAATACAAAAACAAGAAGGCTTATACATATTGGCTGATAGAGAAGTGAGAACTAAAACAATGGCACGTCCTTTCAACACCTTTGCTCTCAAGCTACAAGTACACTGCAAGTATTGTGCAAGGGAACTGGAAAAGGAGCTGCTAAATATCAAGGGGGTTCGTTCGGTGAAAATCAATCAAGAACTTGGAAAAGTAATCATCTCAGGCAAAGTAGACCCTGGAAAGATCCTAACCAAGTTCCAAAAGGTTGGGAGAGAAGCAGAACTCTGGTGTGAACAAGAACGACCTCTTAAAGATGTCGACGCGCTATCGAAAGTGATTGATCCACTGAATGATCCTGACATTATGACACAACTAGAGAAATTTTCTGATGACCCTAGTGTTAAAAGTGTGGAGGTGACCAAAACTATCAAGGTGATTTTCAAAGGGGAATCAAGAAATGGCCCTAGTGAAAAAATTGTGGAGATTAAGACCACCAACAAAAATGTGAAAGAAACTCATGATCAAGTGTTTCCACATGATCATTGTGATCATTCACATGGTGGTGGACTTTGTGGTGCTTCTTCATCATGCTGTGGTGGTCACTCTGCTATAAGTCATAATCTTAATCATGGATGTTGCCAATATGGTAACACTACTAGTTTGGGTCCTTGTTGTGCACATGGAAGAAACTCATCTTATTACCATAGCCAATATGGTAATAATCCCAACTCTGGTCCTTGTTGTGCACATAGCAGAAACTCATGCTATAATTACTATGGGCAATATGGTAATACTGGTTATGGTTCTTGTTATCCAAATAGCATTTCTCCATCAGCGGGAACAATATGGACAAATGATAATATTCCCTCAGCCCCACCTTTGCCAGATGACTATTATCAGGTGCCATCATCCTTGGCAATGCCCGATGATTATTATCAGGCACTGCCACCATTCTCAACAATGACAGATGAGTACTATCAAGCAGCACCATCCTTGGCAATACCTCACCCCTATTACAGTTTCTTAAATGAGAATAAGAATGACTGCATAATCCTATGATTTTGCACATCTTATTTATCAAAAGAGGGTTGTTGTTTGTACGTGTGTGGGTGTATATATGTGAGTGAGAGAGGGAAAAAGAAACACAGAATAAGTGTAGTAGTTATTCTGTATATAACTCTATTTTGTAACTACTTTGGTAATTTTTGCTCCTTGTGTGTGTAAAAATGTGAGAGGGGAAAAAAGAAACACAGAATAAGTGTAGTAGTTATTGTGTATATAACTTTATTTTGCAACTACTTTGGTAATATTTGCTCCTTATGTGAATATTCTTTCGAGTCCACTTTGTTAAATTCATTAACAGTGTCCATTACGATGATCGTAAAAAGCACTATTCCAGCAATTGAAATCCAAAATGTGCTTTGTCCAAGACTATCCATGGGTATTAATTATGTGTTCAACTTTTATATACAAATAGTAAAAACTATTTGTACATCATCGGGTCACCTAAATATTATTGTTAGATGTCTAGATGTAACCTTCATTTACACCGTTATAAAGCAAAGCCAACAAACACTAAAGACTTCACTAACATCTTCTCATCTAAATTATTAAGTTCCGGGTCTCTGTTACAGTTTTTATTTTTCCAATGGGCTATTATGTCATGTTCCTTAGTTCAATGTATATAATGAGACAATTTCCTTAGCATTTGGAGATTGTGTAAAGGGAAATAAACATAAGTTCTATAATTTTGTACACGGGAAAAGATGACCTGAAACTCATCTAACCTGTAGATCCGGCAAAGAGGGGTCATTGGATCCTTGCACAGCTGAAATAGCCATCTATATCAAGCTGGATACAAAAGCATCCTACATGGTCAGGTAGAAAGTGCTAACGAAAGATAACAAATCGTACATGAAACTAGGAAGAAAATTGCACATGAGCAACGATTTACAAGCAATCAAAACTCCGGGGGGGTCAGAACTTGGCAGCATTAAAATTTTGGATTCTTTAGCTTAGCCAAGCACTCTAGTAATACAAAGAGGGGATTATCGAGTTGCACATCCCATGACTTGGATATCACCATCAAAGTGGATGTAGCTCAGCGCCATGATTTGGAGAAGGTTGTTGCACCGGGACTGAGCCATCTTCAACCCAAGATTGTGTTAGTACGTCCTGTCCAGGATAGAAAAGGCAACTGTAACTCTTTACTCCACACTAAAAGTTGGAAATGTATATCTATAAATTGCTAATAGCTTTTCCAGTGAGTGCTCCTCAAAGTATCTAAGTATATAGGCAAACCAACGGATAACAGGCCAGTGGGAGGATCTTCAAAGCCAACAGACTAAAGTTAAAGTGTAAACATACTCAATCTCATTTCTCAAGTAGCTCAATTACCAGAAATTTCAAGCCCAACACTATCACTTACATTCAAGGAGTGGTTAGCTACAATCTTAAAGAGTCTTTGTTGTGCCTCAAAA